AAACTAGTATCCAATACTAATTCTACTCCTTCAGCAGTTCTCCCTGATGCCATCGGCAAGTTTGTCAGCTTTTGACTCAGCTTCTACTACCATAAAACTAGAATGCTGCAATGGGCTTTGAGGCTTAAGTGAAATGTGAGAATTAGTGAGACAGATGCTATTTTGTTTGAATGCAAATCAAATGTCCATCAATACTGCTCATTTGACAAGTGCTGTAGCAATGAAAATGCCTATTAAAATGTTGTGCCTCCTTTTCTTAAGGTTGATCTGTAGTTGCAAGAAGCAGCTTTGAAAATGAGACAGCTTTAAAAAGAGAAAGCTACATAGAGATCACATTTCTCGGAATTAAATCCTTACTGTGGCACTACTTCTTGCAATTTGGTGAGCATACGTGCTCCAAAATTTTTCGTTTCACTTAGAAAAGAGACTTTTATTAACAGAGCAGTTGGAAGGAGCATCCTTCCAAGTAGCTGGATGCTGCTAGTGCCACCAGGTGTTGACTTACTGGAAGACCTGAGGAGCCTTTTCTTTTGTCATCTTAGTCCTGTTTAACTGCATGCTTCTACTCCCTGTGCGTGCTTGCAGTCAGGTAGCAGCATAGACTCTGAATTCTGATGCAGAGAAACTAAAAGGTTTATATTTTGGAAAAAACCCAAGAAGTATAATCCTATCATCTAAATATGAATCCCACCCAGAAAGGAAATTCCATGATGCTAAGTGACAAATTGCTGAAAATTATCAAACTGCTGATGCAACTTGTTGGCTTGTAATAGTTTAAGGCATTAACTTCTAAAATTAAACTGTAATGTGTCTTTATTTTTCAAATATTCTAAAATTACCATTTGGAACTGCCATTATGTTTGTTTTCAGAAGACAGACATTATGGCTGTTCAGAAAGTATGAACAAGTGAATGCAAATTGAGATAGATAGACGTAGATAAATATATAATACATACACACATATGTGTGTATGTATTTATAGACTAGGGCTAAATTTCACAGATGTGTGGGGGCTTTTCTGCCTGGAAATTTAGTTGTAGAAGGGTCTGTTGGTTTCAGTCACTCATCTGAGAAACTAGGATGTCAGACTCAGTAGAGAAGGTAGCTGCAATCTGAGCTTTTACATGTTTGAAGGTCCTGGGTGTGTTCTGTCTATATAGATCAGCTTTATGCTGGACATCTGATGTGCACATATGGAAAACATGATGAGTGGAATGAATTGTATGTAATGTATGGGCTTTTGGTACATATGCACATCCAAGTGTACAGCTTTTATACAGTAAAGCCAGTATTCCCAGATCAGTTGGATACTGTACAAACATAAGCCTATCAGTGCAGCACAGTCAGTCCAGCAGTCCCAGATTGAACATCCAACTCATTGCACATGGAACATGTACAGACTGTTTCAGAAATGCTGGACACCATTCTATAGCCATACACCCCTGTAATTTTTTTTCCTGCTCCCGTCTTTCACGCCCAAGTCACCTGGATAAAGCAAGGCTTAAGCTTCCACCTTTCTTTCTTTCTTTCTTTACAGAAAGAAGACTGTTCCACAGTACCTGGGTCCTGGGTAAGAACTCTAGGCAAGACAGAGTTCCCTCAATATCTCTTTTAAACCCCGTAGGTTTCTGCTGTGGAATTGTCCTTTGGATTAAAAATGAACCTCCTTTTCATTATGTGTATTTTTTTTATCTGGGTCTTCTGATTCTTGTCAGCAGTTTTTGACCATCTTTTACATGTGTGAAAAATTAAGTGTTGCCTTGCTTATTCTTCTAAGGAAACTGTCTAATTTTAATTTTTGATTTGACTTATATATATTTTAAATTTCCTTCCTTGTTGAGGATAGTGGAAACTTGCTGTGGCTTATGTTTGTTTGAAACAGCCTTTTCTGACCTAGAGGAAGACTTTAAACTACTTGCTAGGGGAAAGGAAGTAACCTAATTAAACTAGTCTGAGGGCATCTTGAAAGTCAAAATGAAACATTTCTCTATTTATCTAAAATAATTACTGAAGCATATAAATACTGGGGCTTTGTTTTGGGTTTTTTGGTGTTTTTTTTAAACCAAATGCATTTAAAGTATGTAATTTCCTCTGGATAAATATGTCTGCATTCACAGCAAAGTCTTGCTTGTGCATAATATGCTGTTTCTATGAAAACCTGAATATATTAGTGATTCTTAGGTAACAACACAGTAGCAAATCACCAGGTTGTCTGAAATGCCATGTCTCAAGTACAGAAAATTTGTTTCTTAGGCCATGGGGTAAAAAGTCACTTTGTTCATCAATACACTTTTGTTTCTTGTCTGAATTGTTTAATCATCTCACTTGCTTGTTCATTTTTTTAAACTTTAAAAAATACTTCTCTTGAAAGTGGTCTGCAGGGTGAATTCTCTTGTAAAAGAGTGAATTCTAGGTTTTTCCTGTATTTCAGGTAGAATTTCAGGATTCAAGGATTACCTCTTTTTCTTGCAAAAAGCTGGATCCAATCTCCTGAGTAAAAGAGTTTTTAAAACAGTGAGCTGTTCTGAGATTGGCCATCATTAAGGCAAATCTCTTCACAAACATTTAATACTGTGCCTAATCCTGTTGGCTTCAGTTTCTGGCAGGAATGAATTTTCCAAATCGGATAGAATTGAAATAGATAGAGTTCTCAAATAACTGAAGACTGGTGTGTGGCCTTAATAATCCTAGGAACACATTTCCTTTGATAATGTTGCCTTTTGAAGAATTGATAGGCCTTATTATTATATTTTCAGGTGACTGATAAGGGGGATAAGAGCAAATGAAACAAAGGGGTAATAGAATATTCTCCCTCTCCTTTGTAATGAAGCTCTTCAACAAAGCTGTTGCTGCTACAAAATATTGAGTTGTTAAAGGAAACTCAGTGGATTGAAGCACCATGAGTAGTCTGTAATGGAAATGTCTTTTTCAGCCTTTTTTCCTTGTTACAATACTGTTTTGTTAATATGTCTGCTGTGTTCATTCCTTCACTATTCATTGAAAAACTTTTCTGATGTTCCTTTCTCTGTTATACATTTCTCTTCAAAGTTTGGTGGGGAGACCTAGTTATAATCCATAACTTTAATTTCAAACTGCTGTTCCAGAAAGTTCAAACAATGTAGAGGATTGTGAGTTTTGATAAAGGTGCTTCAAAATCAAACAATACTTGGTTTAAACGTAGTAGTTGCTGTTTTACTTCTGGGACTGCTTTAGGACAGCTGGGAAAATCTAAGATAATTTTATGTTTGAATATCAGTTCTGTGCAGAAACAATTTTTTAAGCATTAATGAACATATATTTTATTAATAGTTCCCAGCTGGAAGTTACATGTTCATTTTCCAGAAAGAAAAATGACTTTTAAATGTTTCATGTGTCAAAGAATGAGATGAAAAACATCATCTTCCTGAAACAAATCAAGGCAATTAGTATATCAGGTATTGTATGTTTATTTGTAGGCTTTTTTACAAGACCTGTAAAATCTGAATATTTAAAAGATTTCCTATGAAGTAAGCCTACAGTCTCATCCATGAAGCATATGATTTTATAAAAGGGAACAAAAAGGGACTAAATAACTGTTTTGCTGTAACCACTTGGGAAACCTGTTGCATGACAAACATAGTTCAACTATATGCTTGAAGTGCTGACCAATATTCCAAATTTAAATTAAAAAAAAAGTACTAAAAAGTAAATGCATACAACTAGAAAATAGTAAGTTCTTCATTAAAATGTTTTGTGTTGTAAACTCATGTCTGTTCTGTCTCCTGTTCAGCTTTCCTGATTAAGCACAAATGGCTATTTTTGGACTGGGTTGCTTCTTTTGGTACCTTTTGATAAAAGCACATACCTGTTAAATTTAGTACAGTTTGTTACTGGTATTTAATTTTAAATGTAGGAATTACTGTGACATTTAAGGTTAGTGGTTCCTCTACTCAGTCTACAGCAGGCAGGATCAGATGCTTCAGAGAAAGACATGAAAAATGTGGAAGCTGTCAAAGACAGAATAACCAGACAAGAAGCTGTTCCAACATTACTCACTCACAGTCTGTCTCTTGGCAGAGAAGTTTTTTGGGTGGGAGGAAAGTTCTCCCTTAGTTTTGTCTTACTACTTTTCCTTCCCAAGCATGCTGGCTGGAGAAAAGCATTACTCTGCTCTGACATTAGCTGTTTCCAGAAAGTGTGCATTTGTGATGTTCTGCATTCCTAAACTGTATTGTATCATTAAGGTGTATGTTGGAACCCAGCAGTCAGTAGTGTGTTGAGTCTGTTATGCACAGTGCATCCCTTTGAAGAGGCACTTGACTTATTTTCAGTTAACAGAATTAAAGTAACGAGGTGTCCTTCCCACTGCAGTGTCTGCATACCCATGTGTACATGAACACTTGCAGTACTTGTGTTCAGTTATTGGTTGTTTCCTTGGTCAGGGTATGTGGGGAGAAGGAGGGGTTGCTGCTGATTTTTGGTTTTGCCAAATATAATCACAGTCTAAAACATGTAAATGCTGATGAATGTAGTTTCATACTTGTTGCAGCCGGCTTTCTTTACCTGTCTGCGACAACAACTCCCGTTCGAGGTGAGACGGCACGAGAGCCACACATCCACCACCCCCGGGCCACTGAGACACAGACACCAATATGAGGATATCACAAATGGCGTTTATTAACTCTCTTTCACTGCTTTTATATGCAAACTACTTCGTTCCCGCCTTTGCAGTTACATCATAAGCTCTATCACGGGGCGGTCAGTCCCTATCCTTTCCATACATCGTGAGATCTTCTGGTCGCCAATCCCTACACATACTGAACAAGTAATTTTCCTAAGTTATCTTCTTGCACTCTAAGATGCAGCTAGCCACAATGATAACTCTGTTTTTAAAGGCTTGTCACAACTGGCTTATTTCTGAACATCTGGAATACCAATATTCTTTATTTAAATTTATTTTTTTTATATAGTGATGAGTGGTATCTGGTTTGTGCTTATCATATATTTATTTTCTTTCAAAGGATGATTTTGAGGGGAAATCTGAGGAGCGTGCCAGTGTCATCCAACAACTTGAGCAAACTATTGAGGATCTGAGGACCAAAATTGCAGAACTAGAGAAACTGTTCCCAGCTGCAGAGGTGCAGACTGCTGGGAGGGAGCAGGACAATGAGTACATGCATGCAGTCTGTGGGGAACTCAGCAGTGTGACTCTTCAAAGGAATGGAGAGGAGACCGTACCCAGGACTGTGTCACAAGCAAGATCTGTACAGACGTCACCAACAGAGGATTATTCAACACACACAATGCCTTCAGCCAATGCACTGCCACAGCCACCCCCGCTACCACACTTAGAAGGGGGCAAAAGTGAAAGGCCAACTCAGAAATTGCCAGCTCTGGAACTACAGCCCACATTTTGTTCTGAAATCTCCTTAATTCTGTCGCCGAAGCTGATCTCGGTGCCACTGGATGCAAGCCAATCAGTACAGAGTATGCCGCAGTCACCTCTTCCAGGACCCAAAGTTAATTTGTCCCTTGCATTTGAAGGAGAGACTGAAATGCCAGCTTCCCATCAGCCTCTAAGTACTGTAGATATGACTTGTAGTGAACAACCTCGTCCTTTGCCCCCCGAGCCCACAGGTAGCATTCCCCCATCACTGCCAGCCACCAAACCGACTGCTCCCCTGTCTGCAGTACAAGGCCCTTCCCTTGCCCCCCCTGTGTCCATGGCAAGCGTACCACTCCCACCACCCCTGCCCAGCTCAGGACTCCCTCCTTCTGCTGGCTCAGCAGTGCCACACCTGGACCACTCTCTGCCAGGCATGCCCCCCCCACCCCCTCCTCCTCCACCTTTGCCAAGTGGGGAGATATCGATGCAGCCCCCAGCCACTCCTCTCCCATGTGCTGGAGTACCACCACCACCTCTACCACCACCTTTGCCTGGAGCAGAAGTCCCACCTGCTCTGCCCGGATGGGGCATCGCACCTCCCCCTCCACCACCACCTTTACCTGGGGCTGGTGTCCCTCCCCCACCTCCTCCTCTGCCTGGACTGGGAATGCTACCCCCAGCACCACCTCTGCCTGGAGCAGGACTGCTACCACCTCCCGCACCTCTGCCCAGAGGGGGCATCCCACCACCTCCACCTCCTCCTCTACCACCTCCTCTGCCTGGTGCAGGTGCCCCTCCTCCACCTCCTCTGCCTGGTGCAGGTGCCCCTCCTCCACCTCCTCTGCCTGGTGCAGGTGCCCCTCCTCCACCTCCTCTGCCCCCTCCTTTGCCTGGGTTGGGGATGCCACCTCCAGCCCCACCACTTTTACCAGGAGAAGTGCCACCCCTTCCAGTGCCAGCCCAGGGCAGCACCTACCCAGCAGTCCCACAGGTATGTGGGTTTCTTCCTCCTCCGTTACCATCTAGTTTGTTTTCAATGGGGATTAATCAGGAGAAAGGGAGCAGGAAACATGTGATAGAGCCTTCTCGACCAATGAAGCCTCTTTACTGGACAAGAATTCAGCTCCACAGTAAAAGGTAAGTTGTAGAGTTGTGAAGAGAGTGGTGTTTTCATGTTATGGCTGTCCTGATAGTCGTATGTTATGAACAAGTGTCTTTATTTACTGCTAGGCAGATCTTTGAGAGAACCTCAGTGCAAACAGTTTTATTTGTAGTTGGATATGTAAATGGGGTGCCCATTTTATTTAAAACCCACAAACTCTTGAGTAACGTTATTTGCATATGAAAGTTCTTTGAGGGCAGTGTTTTCAGCCATCCTGTGGGGTTACATAGTATGCATTGATCAGAGCTCCAAGGGTGACTGTGTGCCACCAAGAGTTCTGTGAAATGGTGTTTAAAAATGTCATATTTGTGCCTCCCTTCAACTTTCAAGACAGCATTGGTCTCTCTCTGGAGCAGCTTGCAAGTTTTTGTAGTGTCTTCCCTCTGGATACATGTATGCTGAATGCATCTTGTCCTCCTCTTTCCTTTCTCCAGTGATCTAGAAATCCATTTTTTTTTTTTTTCCGCCTTGTACGCTTGGCAGGCAGATTCAAACTGCAATTTAACTGCATGGCAGCATAAAGCTATTCTGGTAGCCCTTACTTTGATATGAGTTTGATCTACTTGTTTGTGGTTGTTGATGCTCTTTTTGTTTGTAAAATATCATTCTTGGTTATGAAAAGAAGTTTTCTTATTAATCTTTTCTTTATGTCTCTGCATACTGACTGTAAAACCTTCTGCTGTTATTTAATGATGAATTTATTTCTTTTCAAGTTCTTGCTGGTGTCACACAGGTGTTCTGCAGACAACTGTCTATTTCTACTTCTCTTTGTGTCCATGTCTGTGTGTTTTATAGCCTGTATATACCCTATTTATATTCCTATGTATATAAAGTGGGTGAATATAAATGAGCCTGACCATTATTGTGTGTGAACAAAGAAGCAAGCAAAGAAGTATGGGGGAGAATCAACAATATATCTTAGGCAACAACTTTTAAATTGCTGCTATTTTATTTTCTTCATTCCTCCATTTATGACCTTATTTAGTTTGACGTTGCCCTACATAGGTCTTTTGCTTAACTTTAGAGATTCTAGTGCTTCACTTGTGTGGGAAAAAATTGAAGAGCCTTCCATAGATTATCATGAGTTTGAAGAACTGTTTTCTAAAACAGCTGTTAAAGAGAGGAAGAAACCCATTTCGGACACCATTACAAAAACAAAGACTAAACAAGTGAGTACTCATTTAATTTTAGATCTTTTCAAGGCTGGTTTTTATATAACAACAGATTTTTGCATGCAGCTGAGATGAACTTGTGTGAAATTGTTGATATATATATATATATATACACACTATGTAGAAATATAAGAAAAGGAGAGAAGGTAGGATGGGTTTCAAAGCTATATCTGTTAAAGACTGAAGATTTTTTTTTTTTATAAATTACTTTCCAACTATGTATTTTCTTAAAAGAAAAATCTTTGCTTTATCCACTTATAAATTAACAAAAATAAAACTAAAATATGATGCTTTGAAATTGACTGCACATGTGCAATGAGTGGTACATAAATTATTCTGATTAATTTTTTAAATTACATAGAGTTCCATATGAATTACCAGGACTTCAGAGAAAAGTTAAACTTAAGAGTCAAAGTCCTAATATTATACCAATCATAACAATTCTAAGTTTGTGTTTTGTTTTTATATATATAGTGAATATGAACTTTATGCACACAATAGATGACAAGCATAGTTGGGAAAACCCAACATTAATCAAACTGGTTTCTTGAAATGGAATGGTGTACAATAAAATAAAAATAGGAAGCATATTTTAAATGTGGAAGTTTAAAACCTGGGATAAGAGAATTGAATCTGAATATATGTGACTAGAGAGCTGTGATCTTCTTGGTATCTGTGTGAAAATCGAATTGTGATGGTATGATAATTCATTTGAAATTAAACTTTCAGGCTGCAGAGGAAAATGTTCTCACATAGAATCTTAAACAACAGTTAAAGTCCTTGTTTTATCTCATCTTCACATTCCTGTACTCAATTCAAAACTACATTGTTCTTTCCATCATCTTTTAACATACAGGTTAACGCTACACAAGATTTTCTTCCACATCCGATGTACAGTGAGAATCTTCAAAATCTCCATGCAGTAGATCTTATGTTTGAATATGATGTCTCCACCCAGTAGTTCTGGAGATCTTGCCCCCACAGACACATTTTGGTCAGCAATATAAACATGTAGGCACACTTTACTGTGCTGACAGCCTGCGGCAGGCAGCAGAACTGGTAGTGAAGTTAGGATGATTACCACAAGGTGTTGAATAAAATCTTTATCTGTCTGGATGGGAAGGGTAGTTCAACTGTGCTTGTGTGGCTGTTGATCACGTACCTGGGTGCTGCACTAGGCTGTACTAACTGGGATGTGAGGAAGGGTAACAGTGCTGCTGCTACCTTGTTCTCCCGCAATGAATCTCCCAAGTGCCAGACCTTTGCTCTTCTTCCATCCTTCTAGTAAAAGCCCCTTGTAATGGTTATTCTTAACTAAATTAGTATGATAGCTCTTTAAGGAAGAAAAGGAGTGCAAAGTTATACCTGATGCTTTGCCTATGAATTGTTGGTCCATTCACATTTCATGAAGTTTGGCGATGTAAATCTCTAAACAGAGTAGAAATGATGAGTGTTTAATTCTGTAACATAACCAGAATTGTTTAAAGACAGTGATTATGAATAAACATTAGGTGTGGATTTTAATACTTAGAGTATTTATTTTTCTTGACTGCCAAAAATTTAGATACATTGTCAATAGATAAGTAACATATAGATTAAATGAAAATGACTGTTTGTTGTTAACTTCATTGAAAAGAACAAGTTGTTTATGACAGAAACTTCCACACAGAAGCTTAGGACAATCTAAGTAGGTGGCATTATCTGGAACAAACTTTCTTGTGGGCCATCTAACTTGACAGGAGAGAATCCCCTGTGTGTTTCTCTTCCTCTGGTGATCAAATGAATTGCTCTCCAAAAGAGAGAGAAATTGTCTAATGGAGAAGTCTGATTTGGGGGGGGGGGGGGGAGGGGGGGGGGAGATCAACCTGATAATCACAGGCTTCCATTAGAACTTTGGAAGTAGTAGTCAAGAAAAAAATGCCCCAATAACTTTGAAATGCATAAAATATTTGGTATTCTACATAAACATCTGATTTTAAGAAAACAATGTTTTTACTGTAAGCTAAAATAAAGATGCATTTACAGAGGAGGCCACATGATGGGTGTGTGTGTGGAATTTCTAGCTAATCTGAAGGAAGATTTGATAGTTTTGGGATGTTTTAGTGGGTGAAATAATAATTATTTTGGAGTACGCTGCTGTTCTGCACACAGCTATTTTTGCTACGTGCCACAGAGTATATGCATATATTTGGTTATGTATATATATAGATTTGCATGATATAATTATTTCTAAAAGGTGACCCCTTTTTAACTGGTAAAATTATCTATCTTGTTGTGGGTTGTTTTGGGTTTTCCTGAGTTAACAATTGAGTTAATTTCACCCTACACAAGTATTGGTTCTAGTTGTTTTTTCTTTGGCATGATCATCTGCAAATAAATACAATATAAATCAATAATGTTTAAAAAAAATCAATATTACATCTGAATGAAGGTGACCTTAAAATCCATTCCAGAACTTTAAAGAAAGAGAAAAAATGAAGCATTAATATTTATTTGTGAATGCAGCATTTTTTATTCTTACTATCTCTCATTTGGTGCTATGGCAAAACCTGTGATTTATTTTGCTGTGTTAATACATATATGTCAAATTCTCAGCTGCTGTAAATGTGTGCAGGCTCACTCAATCAGAACGCCTACTAAATCTTCAAAGTAAGTCCTTTATGGGCTATATTGTAGGTGGGGCTGCCATTGCTACCTATTAAAGTGTTCTGGCTTTCATTATAAGTCTCTGTTAGAACTTCACCAAAATTTAGCTCTTTAGGCTGCAAATTTTTTTGGGTTGGTTTTTTTTTCCCCCCCCACACACATTGGGTGTCTCCTTCATTTTGCCAATGTTAAGAACGAGCACAAAGTCTGTTTTTGCTCATGTCCGCATAGTTTCATAGACTTGAAATATGGAAAAATTTTATCAGATATGTATCTTGTTAGTTGTGTAAAGGGTTTCTTAAATTTTGCCACTCTACAGGCTATATGTCAATTCCTATCACTCATGAGAGTCAGGTATAATTCTGAAGATTTTTTTTCCTGACCTTGTACGGGCAGTTTGAAAAATGGGGGCCAAGAGAAGAGGCAAAGGAAGATTAAGATGAGTAACTGGGAAGGGAGTGAAGAAATTAGGAGATCTGACAGGTGGAAATATAGAGCATAATAGGTCTGATTTTGTGTCACCTCTTACTCCATCTAAAGTAATTTCTCTCAGAAACTTGTTGTGAGCCTGAGGTATTCTTGACCTGGATATTCCTTTCAGCCAATTCCTTTCATCAAACGTATGGTGTTTGACCCCAGTAAAGGGTGAAAACTCTCTCTTGGAGTCTCTTGTTCAGCCATGCCATGTAGTTACAACACTAGTTTCGCTTATGTGGCTGGCTAGTATTTTCCATAGGACCCTTTCCACAGCTAGCATGGACTGTGTGGAATGAGCACAGTTCATAATGATTAGTTAGGAAATGAAGCTGTCACCCAAGTAAAAATGCTTTTATCAGTTGTTGCAGCACTTAAAAAACATGTAATTAGTGACGCAGGAAGAAAAATAATAGTCTCATGATTAACGCCACATACTCAAGAATGAAGGTAAATGCAGTACTAAAAACGTACTTGGCAAACATTGGCCAGTATGCAATGGGTTCAGTGGAAAAACAGTACATAGCCAGAAAATCTTGATACCACTGTCAGCATAGTAAGTATGCAGAAGGGGCTGAGCTGACTTGCATAGATTGCTTTCCTAACTTTTGAACAGTCAACTTGGAAGCCTTACTGATAATCCTCTAACTGCATTTTTGGAAAATAATATACCTGTAACTGCAATGAACTTTTCAAGAGCAGACCATGTGTTTATAATCTATCATGTAAATGAAATAAAAATGTTGAAGATATTCTCAGATGGAAAGTCCACTATTGATCTATTTACATTAAGATTTTAATCTCCCCCTTCACCCCACAAAATTAATATGTTACCAAAGTTTCATTCTATTTCAAAAGCCTTAGATGCAAACAAGATGTATCAATGAAACTGTTTAGTTAACAATTTCAGCATTTTTGACTTTTTAAGTTGAACATAAAGAAGCTGTGGTAATAGAATACCTCTAGAAATAAAATGCCACATAAAATAAATATAAATTGGTAAATAAGGTAAATGCCATATTGAGTTAACAGATAAAAGTTTATTCATGTTTATTCATTAACAAGGAATGACATAAAGGAAGAATTTTCTAAAACGGAGGGTTTATTCCCTCTGCAAACAGTAGAGGCACTGTCTTAAGGAGCTTTCTGTCTCCACACTTACTGCGTCAATGGTACAACCATTTGCTATGGTTTTATGTACTCTCCAGAGATACAGCTGGGGTTCTGCTGCCCCCACAGACAGGAATTTTAGAGGACTTGATTCATGCATTGCTTTTATTTAGACAATATTTACAATATAAAATAATTAATAATGTCATGAAGTTATTTATGGAATTAAATAATACCTCACTTATTTGGCTTGTGAGAATAATTTCTTTTATGAGATTCTGTGTGACTGTGATCTCTGTTTTTACCTCTCATTCTCTTCTTTGTATGGCTTATTGCATGTTTTGTTATTACATTAGTTGTTTTGTAACTGTATCTACAAAGTCCTCTGTTGTAAACACAGTTTCACCTGGCTGCATGAGTATATCAAATATACTTGATATTTTTTTGATACAAACACCTGTTCAGGCTTCCCAGGTTGATGTCCTCTATTAACCAAATACATTTCTCATTCTTGATTCCTTCCTGCTTTCTTGTCTTCGGGTCATATATTTGCAAGTTTAAAAACAAATATATGAGCTTGGCAACTGATAGTCTTGCAAACTCATCTTGTGACCTAAGAGTTTTGTGGGTTTCTCAGTTTTGTTTGTGTATCCTCACGAGCACTGAAAGGCGCTGATGATGTAGCGGCCTGTTTTAAATGCCCTTCTTACAGATTCTGTATGGGTGAGAAAGGTTATGTTTGTTTCTTAACTAGAGGAGCTGTGTAG